TTCCAGCTCCTTCCCCAGGTTTGGGAAGTTCTCAGATATTATTTATTTGAACAAGTTCTCTGCTCCTTTTTCCCTCTCTTCTCCCTCTGGAATACCTATAATTCTTATGATGGATTTCCTAATTGAGTCAGATATTTCTCGGAGAGTCTCTTCATTTCTTTTTAGTCTTAGTTCTCTTTCCTCCTCCATCTGGAGCATTTCTGCATTGCTGTCCTCAATATTTCTAATTCTTTCCTCCATATTGTCAGCTCTGATGCTTAAGGCTTCCAGATTTGTCTTTATCTCCTCTATTGTGTTTTTCATCTCTAAGATTTCTGATTGGTTTTTTTTTACAGTTTCAATCTCTTTTGTGAAGAAACTCCTGATTTCATTGAATTGTCTGTCTTGTGTTTTCTTGTATGTCATTAAGGTTTTTTATGATGGCTATTTTGAATTCTCTGTCGTTAAGGTTATACATCTCTGAGCTTTCCAAGTTGACTTCTGGGTGCTTGTCATTTTCCTTTTGGTCTGGAGATTTAATATTTTGCATGATGCCTGTCGCTCTTGGCTTACTTTTCCTCATAGTGAAAATATATGGTCACAGTTTCTTTTTCCTGCTGCTGGGTGGGGGTCAAGGGCTGTGTATTCTGGCCTGCCTCAATCCATGGGCCCTCTCGTCAGTCTCTGGCTGATCTGAGGCGTGGCTGAGTGGATGCTGCTGGGGGGAAGCATGGGAACAGCTGGAGCTGGAGTGTGGAAACAGCTGAGACTGGAGCGCAGCTAGGCCAAAGCAGCTGAGGCTCAGGTGCAGGTGGGTTGAAGCAGCTGCATCTGATGTGCCACTGGGCCAAAGAATCAGGGGCTGGAGCGCCGCTGGGCCAAAGAAGCTGGAACTGGAGTGCACTGGGCCAAAGATGCTAGAACTGGAGTGTGCTAAGCCACAGAAAGAAGAGCTGGAGCACCACTGGGCCAAAGAAGCTGGAATTGGAGTGTGCTGGGTCGAAGAAGGAGGAGCTGGGGCACCACTGGGCCAAAGGAGCTGGAACTGGAGTGCGGTGGGCTGAAGTTGCTGGCACCAAGTCAGCTGGAGCCTGAGCACAGGCCAAGCTAACACCGCTGGAGCCAGGGCTGGGGGGGGAGCAGTCAAGCCAAAGGAGCTGGGGGCGGGGCACGGTCCAGCAGAAGGAGCCGGCTGTGGAATGTGGAAGCCAGGGAAGCTGGGGCCGTGGCTTGGTCCAGCCAGAGCAGCTGGGGCTGTGGTGTGGTGGGGCCTGAGCTGCTGCTGCCTCTGGTGTGGGGCGCAGGCTCGCCTCGCTGCTGGTCGGGCCTGGGCACCTGGGAGCTGCTGCCTGTGGGGGTGGGGTGGTCACGCTGCCCCTGCTGGTGGGGCCCGGGTGCCTGGGAGCCAATGCCTCTGGGGACCGGGCTGAGCTGAAGTGCCGCTGTGCTGAAGCACCAGTCAGGAGGGCTGGATGGGGGAGGGGCACTTACTTTCGCCTCCCCCATCTCAGAGGTTTCTTGCCTGGCTGTCACTCTCTGCTCTCCTGAGGGGCTAGCTTGTTGAAACCACCCTCGCAATAGTTCCACTCCCTCCATAGAGGGATCCCCTGGGGCTGTGAGGGGTCTTGGAGAGCGCTGGTTTTCACTCAGCAAGCCACCCCTCCCCTTCCTCTGAGAGCTGCATGGTCTCAGTCTCTGGGTCGCAGTCCTTGGGGAAGGAAAGGAGCTCCTCTTACCTCCTTCCACTTCCTTTGGGGATTCCAGCACCTCCGTCCTCGGGTGTACGGCTGCCTGGGTGCTTCAGACATCCCCTGTGTTGTGTGAATAGCTTCTGTTGGAATATGAATGTCCTTTTTGTTGTGTCTTAAAGGGGGAGAGTTCAACAGGGGAAGCTCACTCCACCAGGATGCTGATGTCACTCCCCTGGAAAAGTGTAATTTTTGATGTCAGAGAGACTTGGGATAAAATTCTGGCTCTGTCACTTTTTTCAGGTAAAATTTACTGAGCACTCACGGTGTCAAATGTTTTATCTGTCTTAACTCATTTATTCCTCATAATAACCCTATGGAGTCCTACTTTGTATACAAGGAGACTAAATAACTTGCCGAAGGCCACACCAATAGTAAGTGGCAGATGAGAGAGTTGAACCCAGTAGCCTGAGTCAGAAGCCCATAAGCTCAAGCCCTATACAGCCTCGTCTCCCATTCTTCACTGTGTGACCTTGATGGAGTTAGTAAACTTCTCTGCAAAATGGAAACTGTTCTCAGAGTTGTCGTGGGCATTAGCAATTATATATGTGAAATGCCTGGCACACAGCAAGCATCTCAACTAATGGCGGCTGCTCACCACTTGAAAATGAATTTTTGTTTCAGGCGAGTCGAATCTGAGGTGAGGGTGGAACTTCTAGCAGAAGTCAGACTTGCAAGTGTGGTAAAGCCTGGTGTTTAGGTAATGGAATTGGCCTGCCTGGACTCCAATCCCTGCTCTGCCGCCTAACTGCCACATGACCTAACAGGTAAGTTCATCTGTCAAAGCCTGTTTGTTCATCTGTAAAATGGGGATAAAAGTAGTACCTACTTTCTTGGTTTGTTTTGAGTATACGAGGCAATGTATGTGAAGTGCTTAGGAACAGTTTGGGCATTGTCAGTGCTTGATAAATGTAGGTTTTTGTAATAGTGTGTATGATGGATGTAATGATAAATCTGTGGTAATGTAAAATTACCAGAAGGTAAGAGTCTCCTGTGTTAGGATTCTTGTGTGCATAAAGTCTTAGGGGAGGCAGGAATCGTATCAAAACAAAACCCTTTCTTTCCAGTAGCTGCATGATCATTTGCTTCATTCCCAGCATCCATCCTTGCCCTATGTCCACCACTGTGCCAGGGGCTGTGGAAAGATCCAGAAAATCTAGAGAACGGGAGACAGACCCCAGATTCCCACTCTTAACACCCATAGTGTAGGCAGCTGGGGGATGTTGCAGTTCAGCCAGGAAAATGATCAAAGGTTTGGCTATAGGACCTCATAGGTAAAGCTGCTCAAAATGAGAAATTAGGAAGAACGTTCCCATTGGGCGGGGGTTTGTTAAGGCATCAAGAAAAGGCGTGGAATCTCTTTTTTTGGGACGGCATTAATAGGACCAATCTTGCTCTGCAAGGAATGGTCTTTAAGAGGAGTTCTTCACTCAGGAGAAGCAGTGAGAGTGGCTTCAAGGAGTCCACGGTTCTGTGAAGGTCGTTAACTCAGCTACTTTGGTGAGCTGGAACCTCTAGCTTCCAAGGCTGGCATTTGACTGGAAGAGAGTGGCCAGCTCTTGACCAGGAGCACCTTGGCGAGAGAGGAGAGGGAACCTGTGTTCCAAGGGAGGGAGCAGCAGCTAACAGGGCTCGAAGGATGCTAATGAGCGCTAACAGAGACTCAGCTCCAGCGCAGACGGGAATGTAAACGTTAGTACAAGATGAGGGAAGGCCTCAAACAAAAGGGAAGCACTGCGAATCAAGCTGGGAAATGGCCTCAGTTTCTCACTCCGGCAGAAAGGAGGGCTTCCCGGCGCTGGCAAGGGCGGGGACGCCGGAGCAGGCATCCCGGATTGTGGTTATCAAAGGTTCAGCCACGCAGCTTCTGGGATCTCTTCCCGCCACGAGATGGAAATGTTTCCCGAAGGCTGACGACGACGACGAGATCACGTGCATCGGGCTTTCCCCCACGTCTCCTCTCCCAGCCCCTTCACCAGCGCCTCGGGCCAGGGGCTGGGAACGCGGGCCGGACCGGAAAGGGAGGCCGCCTGGAGGCAGCCGCCCAGACCGCGCGACCCTCGCGTGCCCGACTTCGCTGAGGCGTCCCCGCCGTGTCTGGGCCTCCGGGGTCGTGTTGCACTTCTGGAGCGCGGGGACCCCCGAGAGGCTGGACTCGGTGGAGCCAGCGCACAGCAGGCTGGAGAGGCGCGGCCCAGGGCAGGGCTTCCCTCCCCCCCACCGCCTCCGAGCCCCCCGCGGGGGGGGGTGGATCGCGCGGCTGGGGGTCCGGAAGCTCGTCTGGGAGGGGCGGCCGCGGCGCCGCGGGCGTGGGCGGGGCCGGCGGCGCTGGGGTTAATGTCCGCCACGCCCCGACCGCGCTGACTCAGTTTCACCAGAAACTTGGGGGAGGAGGCGGCCGATCCCTAGTGCACCTGGCACCGGGGCGGAAGCGGCGGCCCGAGCTGCGCAGGAAGCCGGGACCGGAACCTCTGCAGGCCCGGCCCCACCCCACTCACCTGCGCAGGTAAGCGGGCGCCGGCGCGCGAGGCGGAGGCGGAGCGGGCTCGGAGCATGTTTGGCCCTTTGTTCTGCGCCTATGCGTGTGTCCCGGTACGCGAGCTCCTTAGCTGTTCATCTGGCGGTCTGTCGGGCGGCCGGCTCTCCCGAGTGTGCGTGGGAGGGCCGGGCCCCCGTGCTCCTCTCGCTCTCGGGGTGCTCCCCAGCCCTCCCCTTCACTTCCTCCTGGCCGGCCCGCCTCCCTTGAAGTCTCCCCAGCTGATCCGGGGTGTCTCCTCCTCCGTCCCCTCCCCTCTTGCAGATCGCAAACACCCTTGGAGCCCAGAGGCCTGCACTGTGAAGGTGACCCCCGTGGGGAGGAGGGTGACGGCCCTGGGAGGACGATGGCCGGCGCCCGCCTCTCCCAGGCCCGCATCCTAGCGGTCGCGGTTTGGCTCCTGTGCGCGCTCGTCGTCCGGGGCACCGAGGCCGGGCCGCCGCCCGCGCCCCCCGAGCTGCCCACGGGAGCCGCCTGCCTGGACCGCTTTACCGCCGGGGTGCCTGACTTCGTGCTCGACACCGAGGCCTCGGTCAGCAACGGAGCCACCTTCCTGGGCTCCCCCACCGTCCGCCGCGGCTGGGACTGCGTGCGCGCCTGCTGCATCACCCAGAACTGCAACCTGGCTCTGGTGGAGCTGCACCCCGACGGCGGGGAGGACGCCATCGCCACCTGCTTCCTCATGGACTGCCTCTATGAGCAGAACTTCGTGTGCAAGTTCGCGCCCAGGGGGGGCTTCATCAACTACCTCACGCGGGAGGTTTACCGCTCCTACCGCGAGCTGCGGACCCAGGGCTTTGGAGGTAAGGAGGAGGGTGCCGGGATGGGTTTGGAGAGACTCGGAAAAGGCGCTGGTGATGGAGTCGTGGGGGAGGCGAGCGTAAGGAAGGAGTTAAGGAGAGTCCATTCTACCCCAACTCCTCCTTAGAAGTAGGCAGTATAAACAGTAAACAGGGGCCGGCTCCGTGGCTTAGCGGTTAAGTGCGCGCGCTCTGATGCTGGCGGCCCGGGTTCGGATCCCGGGCGCGCCCTGAGGCACCACTTCTCCGTCCAACGTGAGGCCGAGTCCCACATACAGCAACTAGAAGGATGTGAACCTATGACATACAACTATCTACTGGGGCTTTGGGGGGAAAAACTGAATAAATAAAATCTTTAAAAAAAAAAAAAAAAAAACAGTAAACAAAGAACGAGTGGGGAGGGGCGACGTCTGAGACCCCCGACTCTGGCTCCTGAATTCAGGTTGTTGAGGGGGCTGGTCCTCTGGGATGTGTGTATGGAAGAGCGGAGGCAGCACCTTGGGATTTCCGACTTCTGGCCCTGCTATGCTGAGTCAGGGAGTGAGCTGTCTGGAGGCTGCCTGGTGACCAGATAGGCACTCTGGCCAAGCACTGTCCTAGGCGCCTTGAGGCCCTGTCAAGTGAGCCTGGTGAAGGATAGTCTCCTCCTCCGCTGTTGGGTTTGGGATTGGTTAGCATCTCTCTGCACCCCTCCCCCCACATATTGCCCTTTTTGTGGTCTGGGGAAAACTGCCAGACCCCAGAGACTAAAAAACAAACCCAGAATGGGGGTGACCCAAAAGGGGAGGGGGCATTGTTGTGGGCACAGTAGCCTAGAGGCTCTGGGGGGGTGCGGTGAGGAGGGTTGCTGGGTGAGTCAGCCCGCTGGTATGTATACCTGGTGGGGGAGGGATGTCAGCTGTCCAGGCAGGTGCATGTGTGCTCTGCCTGCTTAGGATCTGGTAGCCAAGCTGTCTGCTCACCTTGTTTACTTCCTGGGATGAGGGCAAAGTGGGGGCCAGGGCTCCTTCTCCTTCCTCCTGGGACTGAGCAGTTATCTGGCTCAGGGTCCCTCCAGAGACCTTCGTTCCCCATTCTCTCCACCAGCTGTTCTGGCCAGGTGGGGCTCCAGGGCAGGGATGGGTCATGCCTGATAACCTCTGTTAGCACTTTACAGTTTACTGATTGCTGTGCCACTCAGCCTCTCACTTAGGCCTCATGACACCCACCTCTGAAAAGGGTGCTATTAGTAGTCATCCTACTTTTTAGATTAGGAAACTGACTCCCATGTTAAATAATTTTGCTCAGGATAACACTACCCATAAATGGGAGGCCCAAGACTCAACCCCAGGAGGGACTTCCAAAAGTCTTCTGCTGTTTTTCACACAAGACCACCTTTCTGGAAGAAACCTGTCTCTGACCCAAGACAGCCCAGCAGATAACAGAACCAGAGACTGGGGAAGCCAGGGGCCAGGACTGGGCTGGGGCTGAGTATGGGGCTGGTCTCAATTCTGGAAAGTAGAGAAGGAACTTTCCCCTTCAGCCTTTTCCTGGGCCATTCTCTCTCCCAAGTGAAGGCCTGCCCCTCTCCCTCTCTTTCCAGTAGCTCTCCTGGGTCCTTGAGGTGAGGTGGGATGTGGATTCCAGGAGGGGGGCACCATCTCGGGGCAGGCTGGGCCACCGAGTCCCACTGAGCCAGAGCCTGAGCCTGTTCCACAAGGAAGTAGCAGAGAGTGTAGGTGGTGATGACTCTGATTGACCTGAGATCCCTTCCTGCTCTGACAGAGTCCCATGGGAGCCCCACTCCGGGGCTGGCGCTGGAAACTCTGGGGTCTGGTCAGGGAGCTGGGCTGGATGGGGCTACATGGTCTTGGGAACAGCCTTTCTCATTTGGAAACCCTACCCACTCCTAGATTAGCCTGTTTGGCACAAGACAGGGTGGAATGGGGATTTTCTGGGGAATGGGGATTACCTGGGAGCTAGGTAGGGCTTGGACTGAGTGTGAGCTCCAGACCATTTTCAAGGCGCTGCAGTGCTTTGAGGAGTAGGGTAAGCTGTGTGTGTCAGGGAGTCCATTATCAGCTGAGAGGTTGGAGGTGGATAAGACCAGGATAAAACTATTAGAGAATCCTGGAGGCTAGGCTAGGTGGAGCAGGCAAGATGGGTGGGTGCTCAGGACTTCTAAATCTTTGGTTCTTGTATTGGGTAGAGAAATCCTCCCCAGGGTGGGTTGGTTTGTTTCCCTTTTCCTGCCTGTGGCCAGTCCAGTCCAGATTCCTGCCGCCTCCTGAGCACCCTGCTCCTTCCTCGGGTCCCCCTCCCTGACCCTCCCCCTCTTGCCGTTGGAGGAGTGGCTTGGAAGGTGGAGTCTGTGTTCCCTGGAGATGTCCTGAGGCCTGGCAGCTGGGGGAGGGGCTGGATTTATTGCCACTCTGGCCCTTTGCTCTCTTAGGGGTGGGAAGAAGGGAGTGGTAGGGTGGGGCATGTGCCCCTTGCTCCTGAGGACTGGGGCTTGGAGGGGATGGGACGTTGCTGATTTGGCCCAAGGTCTGACACGTCGCTCTGCCACTTCCACCCTGGGGGCTGCCTGGCTTGGAGGTAGACTGCCAAGGAGTCTGTCTTCTTTATCATTTCAGACAGCTGATTACTTTCTGAAAAATGCAGGGAGGGAGGAACGGGCCACTCCCAGCTCACTGCCCCCTGTGCTTCGTCACAGAGGTCTCCTCAGGGCTGACCCTGTTGGGCCCTCTCCTGATGGCCAGCCAAGCCACTGGACTGAGGGATGGTACCAGACAGGGACTTTTGCTTCCTGCTCTCCCAGTCGTATTTCCCCTTAACCCCTGGAACCCAAGTCCTTTTTCTCATTCTCATAGGCCTCTGCACCATCTGACATGTTTCTCTGTGGAAGCTCTTTCCTCCCATCCTTTTGCTGTCACCATGCGTCCTGGTCTTCTCACCCCTGGGACCACCCTCTGTGAGTCCCACATTGGCTCTGCCTTCTCTGCCTCACCAAAGGGGAATCCCTATGACTCAGCCTCCTATGAGCTGTTCTTACCTTTTACCTTCTCTTGTCCCTTTGAACTCACTCTTACACTTGACATAAGCCTTGGTAAAGCCTCTCTGGAGGGCAGTTTGGTGACATCCATCAAAACTGTAAATGCTGGGCCAGCCCTGGTGGCCTAGTGGTTAAATTTGGCATGCTCCACTTTACGGCGGCCCAGGTTCGGTTCCCAGGCTAAGACCTACACCACTCATCTGTCACTGACCATGCTGTGGCAGCGGCTCACATACAAAAAGTGGAAGATTGGCAGTGGATGTTAGCTCAGGGTGAATCTTCCTGAGCAAAACAAAAAAACAAGAACAAACTGTAAATGCACAACCTTCATTGCAATTTCACTTGTAGGAATTCGTCTTGTGGCTATACTTATACATGTGTAAAGCAACTTACCAGCCAGTTATTCACTGTCCCATTGTTTATAATAGCAAAGGATTGGAAACAATCTCAATGTCTGTCAACATCCTAGAGTTGGATACTGTGATGCTGTTTCAATAATAATAATAAACCCCGAGGCAGCATAGTTTAGTTCTTAGGAAGCAAGAAAGGTAGGAAGGAAGGAAAAATCTAAATTAAGAGGAGATTGGTGGGGCCGTTTAGTGGTTAAGTGCGTGCGCTCCGCTGCTGGCGGCCCGGGTTCGGATCCTGGGCACGCACCGATGCACCGTTTGTCAGGCCATGCTGTGGTGGCGTCCCATATAAAGTAGAGGACGATGGGCACGCATGTTAGCCCACGGCCAGTCTTCCTCAGCAAAAAGAGGAGGATTGGCATGGATGTTAGCTCAAGGCTGATCTTCCTCACAAAAAAAGAAAAAAGAGGACTGGTTAAATAAGTTGTAAATTTTGGTGTATTCATACAATGAGTACTATTCAACCAAAAAAGAAAAGAAAAGAAACTCGTTGTGTTGTTATGGAATGACTTCCAAAATATATTATGGACAAAACAAGAAGAAGAACTTGCCTGCTTATGAATTCAATATTCTCTCTCTTGATAGTCACACACACATAAACTAGTAAGAGTGGAGTGCTTCTGGAGAGAGGAACCTGGGGAGTTAAGAAGAGGGGACTTAATTCTCACTACCCTTTTGTAGTTTTTGAATTTTATATCATATACATGTATTACCTAAGCTAAAAACAACAAAACCACAAGAAAAGCAATCAAAATCACACCTCTAAGCAGGTGGTGACCTGCAGCATGGTGTTTTGGAGAAAGCATGAGCTATAGAGTCAGACAGACCAGGCTTCCCATCCTAGCTCTGCTGTTTAGAAACTGAGTGACTCTGGGCAAGTGGTTTAACCTCTCTAGTGTCACTTTTCTCATCTGGAAAGGGGTGAGGAGGCAGTTGTGGTAGGGCAGTTAGGAAGCTAGGCAGTGTAGGTCAGGGGTCAGCAAACTTCCTGTAAAGGTTCAAATAGTAAATATTTTAGGCTTTGAGGGCCATACAATCTCTGTCAGAATTATTCAGTTCTCTTGTAACGGGAAAGTGGCCATCCACAATATGTAAATGAATAGGTGAGGCTGTGTTCCCGTTTATGGACACAAATTTGTTTTATGTACTTTTCACATGTCATGAAATATTATTATTTTGATTTTTTTCAGCCATTTAGAAATATAACAGGTAGTGGGCTAGATTTGGCCTGTGGGCCATAGTTTGCCAATCCCTGACGTAGATGATGCAGGTAACGTACCTACGTGGTGCCAGGCACACACTCGACAAGTGGCAGCTTTGTTAATAAATGTGACTACAGATTTGTCTCCAACCCTGGCCTCTCTGGAGCTCCCACTGTGCACCTCCCCTCTGGATGGATTTCTGTCTCTCAAATTCAACTTCTCTATGACTGAACCCACATGTTCCCTCTAGATCTGGTTTCCCTTCCGCCTGGGCCCTGGCTCTTCCTCCCCAGTTCGCAGAGCCTGTCAGGCACAGATGCTTGAAGCGTCTGCCCAGCATTGTTCTCATATCCTCCTTTCCATCCCCTTAGTTGTCAGACCTTTGATGCGGACCACTCCTGTTGCATCTGCCCTGAACCGCTGACTGGTCCACTTGCCTCCTCACTCCCTAGAAATAATTCCAAACAGATGGGTAAACAGCTGCTGCCCAGAGCTCAGGACTCTCCCTGCTTCCCCGGGCCCTCGGCCCCTCCCTTACAACTCCTGGACCTGGATCATGCTTCTAGGAGGTCAGTGTCTGGTGCAGCCGGGGCTTCTAGAACTCTGTGCCACTGCTCATGGCCAGTGTCTGTCCCCTTCCTGTACCACCAGTTAAGTATTTGAATATCACTCCTGCTGTGTCCACATACCCTGGCCTGGCATTTAGGGCCCTTTGAAGTCTCTTCCAGCCCAGCTGGTCGTCTTTTTTTTTGTCTGGGAAAGATTCGCCCTGAGCTAACATCTGTTGCCAATTTTCTTCTTTTTTTAATTTTCAGTCCCCAAAGCCCCAGTACATAGTTTTATATTCTAGTTGTAAGTCTTTCTAGTTCTTCTATGTGAGCCGCCACCACAGCATGGCTACTGACAGACAAGTGGTGTGGTTCTGCACCCAGGAACTGAACCAAGGCTGCTGAAGCAGAGTGTGCCGAACTTGAACCACTAGGCTGTGAGGGCTGGCTCCCAGTTGGTCTTCTTAATGCCCACCAAAGCAGCCTTGCACATTCCCAACTCCTTGCTTTGGCTCCTCGTGTTTTCTGCTGTCATCAACAACACAGCACATTCTTCCCTACAACTAAACAAATAAAAACAAAAATAAGAGAATCAAAAAAATCCTTTTTTCCATCTCCAGAAAGCCTTGACTTATTCCTCCAGCCTGCTGTGGCCTCTCCCTTCTCTCAGTGTCCACTTCCTTGTCTTGTACATGTACCATGTATCACTTCATCTTGTTGGGTCTTTTCTCCCATGTTGCTGGGTTTTATCTGCCCAATTGGACTGTAGTCCCCTCAAGGGCAGTATGTTCATTGTCCATGGCTGCTGTAACAAATTACTACAAACTGAGTGACTTAAAACAACAGAAATTCGGGCCGGCCCCGTGGCTTAGTGGTTAAGTATTCGTACTCTGCTACTGGCGGCCCGGGTTCGGACCCCAGGCGCGCACCGACGCACTGCTTCTCCGGCCATGCTGAGGCCGTGTCCCACAAACAGCAACTAGAAGGATGTGCAACTATGACATACAACTATCTACTGGCACTTTGGGGGAAAAAAAAGGAGGAGGATTGGCAATAGATGTTAGCTCAGAGCCGGTCTTCCTCAGCAAAAAGAGGAGGATTAGCACGGATGTTAGCTCAGGGCTGACCTTCCTCACAAAAAAAAAAAAAAAAAAAACCAGAAATTCATTGTCTCACAGTCCTAGAGGTAGAAGTCCAAACTCAAGGTGTCAGCAGAGCCACACTCTCTCTCAAGGCCTTAGGGGAGAATCTGTCCTGGCCTCTTCCCCCGATTCTGGTGGCTCCAGGCATTCCTTGGCTTCTGGCTGCGTCACTCCAGTCTCTGACTCTGTTCACATGGCCCTCTCTTCTTGACTCTATCTTCTCCTCTTCTGTCTTTTGTAAAGACACTTGTCATTGGATTTAGGGCCTTCGCAGCTAATCCAGGATGATCTCATGTGGAGATGTTTAACTTGATTACTTCTGCAAAGACCCTTTTCCCGAACAAGGTCACATTCATGAGTTCTGGAGGTTAGAAGTGGACATGTATTTTGAGGGCCACCATTCAACTCGCTACAGGCAGGAGTCCTGCTTTGTGCTCGTTTCTCTCTCCAGCGCCTAACCTGAGACTGGAGGCAGCCCCAGGCACAGGCACTGTCAGGTGGAGGGAGGGCTTGGTTACCTTGGGCCCCCTCATAACTGGAGGCAGAGTCTGTCGGAGGTGGCAGAGACAGCCTCTTCCTGTGGCCACTCACCCTGGGACACCAAGACTTGCCACGTTGCTGCCCAGGAACTCTGAGCGTAAGGCCTCTATCAGGATGGGCTTCTCAGCAGCAATTGGGCAGCAGAGTGATGGGTGATGGGTGTTAATTACACATTTACTGATTTACTTATTTGGCTTTTCAAAAATAATGTTACTTTTAACTTTTTAAAGCAATTAGCGGAAGACCTGCTTATTGTAGAAGATAGTAATCAGTCCCCCCCGTATATATATAAATTTCCTAAATGGAATCAAATGGCACATGCTATTCAGGAATTTGTTTCAGAAAGTGAGTTTACCAAAGACAAAATATCTAAAGAGAGAGCAAGAAGATGGTTTAGTTGTGAGCTCCCACCTGCACTGCATGTGGGCCAAGGCCTAGGTTGGTCTAGGTGTGGCCCGTCCTGCCCCGCTGCCAGGAGACATCTGGTCCATTCGGTGAGAGTTGACCTTACCTCCCCCTCCCCCAGGGTCCCGGATTCCCAGGGCCTGGGCAGGCGTGGACTTGAAGGTGCAGCCCCAGGAACCCCTAGTGCTGAAGGGTGTGGAGAACACAGATTGGCACCTACTGCAGGGTGACACGGACGTCAGGGTAGAGGTGAGACACTGGGCTGGCTCCCTGACCCCTGCCTCCACTCTCTAGGGTCCCCTTTCTGGGGCCACAGACCAACCAGTGGCTCTAGACAGGATGGGGTGGATAGAAACTGAGGATACATTTAATACCAAGTCCCTTCGCTCTCCCTAGAAGGGGGCGTGTGGCTGGGAGAGCCTGGGGCAGCCCAAGGGCATCAGGGGGTCCCAGCCTGATGGCCACTCCTATATACAGAGGAATGATCCGGACCAGGTGGAGCTGTGGGGACTCAAGGAAGGCATTTACCTGTTCCAGCTGACAGCTGGCTCAGATGAGCTAGAGAGCACGACCAATGTCACACTCACTGTGCTGTCCGCCAAGCAGACAGAAGGTAAGGGGGTGGGGGCGGGGAGACAGCACCTAAAATCACCCGCCTCTGTTGATTGGCCCTGCAGGCACCCATCATAGGCTTTCCTCTCCCCAGAATATTGCCTCGCGTCCAGCAAGGTGGGCCGCTGCCGTGGTTCCTTCCCCCGCTGGTACTACGACCCTGCAGAACAGATCTGCAAGAGTTTCGTGTATGGAGGTTGCTTGGGCAACAAGAATAACTACCTTCGGGAAGAAGAGTGCAAGCTGGCCTGCCGCGATGTGCAAGGTGGGCCTTTGTGAGGCAGCTTTGGGGCTCAGGTGACTTTCCCCCAGGGTGGGTGGTCTGTCTTCACCAGTCAGGGAGGTGGGCATGGGAGTCCCCCATTCCCAGTCCCCAGTTCCCCTGATCAGCTCATCCCTCCTGGGGCCTGGCCTTGCCTCCTCTCACTTCTCTCTCTTCTCTCTCCCAGGCCCCTCAGTGGAAAGGCACCATCCAGGTGGGCTTTGCTCCTTTCTCTATTCCCCTCACCCCTGCCACATCACGTCCATGCCCCTGACCAAGCTGCTTTTGTCCAAGCCATTCCTACGCTCACAGTACGTGGAAGGACCACAAGCACTCCACCCCTCGCTGCCCAGCATCCTCTTATTCTCCCAGTTTGTGTGTTGGAGGGTGGGAGGGGAACAAAGACGTGTCATGGTGTTGTGTTGGGGTAGAGGGCCAGGTAGATGATGGCCCCTTGGTACCTGCTGGCCTCTGCGCAAGCCTGACCTCACTCCCCTGCCCCGCCCTGCCCCCACCCAGTGTGCTCAGGCACCTGTCCGCCCACCAAGTTCCGCTGCAGCGATGGCTGCTGCATCGACAGCTTCCTGGAGTGTGACGACACTCCCGACTGCCCTGATGCCTCCGACGAGGCCACCTGTGAAAAATGTGAGGCCTGGGAGACAAAGGGGCGGTGGGCAGCAGCGGGGAGGTCCCGACCATTCGCTGTGCACCCCTGGGAGACCCTTTTTGGGCCTGAGCCTCTGATCTTTCATCTTTGCAGACACCAGTGGCTTCAAAGAGCTCCAGAACATCCACTTCCGCAGTGACAAAGGTGAGATGCTCCCCAGGTCCCCTGGGTCAGGGCACATGCCAGCGCCGCCATCCTTACTCATCCCAACAGCGTGCTGAGGGGCCTGCTCTGTGGGCCAGGCTGGGGGCAGGAAGAGCCAGGGGAGCTCCTGGGCTTTCTTCTTTGGCTCTGTGTTTCCCAATCATCAGTCATCCTCTTAACACCTTCAGAAATTGAGCCGTGCCCACATATCACTGACATGTTATTTATTGAATATTTTTTCTTTAATCCATTGCTTTTTTAACTTAATGTATTGAAAAGGAAATTTCACATCACTACCATAAATAGAAAGCCACTGTTACATGCCACAATTTGAGACTAACTATTAAAATGAGTATAATAAAACAATGTAATAAATTTTAGCTGGACATTGTTGCCTGCCGAGGCTCAGACCCTGAGCCTCTTTGTTAAAAGGTGGACTGTCCAGTGCTGGAGACGAAGCTGAGTCCTTGACAACATCAGAAAAACTGAAAAAGAAATAGTTATGTGAGTCAGGGTAGTTTGCTTCTGTGCCTAAGATTATTGTCCAGGATTTGTCTTCCTTGCTTTTGGCAACACCGCAGACAGAGCAGACGTTTCTGGGGCTCTGAGGCCCTCACCGAGTCACAGCCGTCCTCAGCATAAGGCAGGTCGGGAGGTGGTGGGTAGCAACCACGTGGAGCCTGGTGCATGGTGGCAGGGAGGCCCCATGGACTCACTTGCCCCTTTGCCTTCTCCTTACCCCGCAGGGCACTGTGTGGACCTGCCAGACACGGGCCTCTGCCTAGAGAGCATCCCACGCTGGTACTATAACCCCTTCAGTGAACGCTGCGCCCGCTTTACCTATGGCGGTTGTTATGGCAACAAGAACAACTTTGAGGAGGAGCAGCAGTGTCTTGAGTCCTGCCATGGCATCTCCAGTGAGCGGGGCAGTGGGAGGTGGAAGATGGGAAGGGAAAGGCTTAGCTAGGGTGCTCTGCTCTGTCCTAAAGCCTGGGCTGGTCACACCTCATCCTCAGTGCCTGGAATGGGGGCAGGAGAGGATGGCAGTGGGGGGTCTGGGGCACCGGGGAGCAGCTGAGTCTCAGAGCCCTTAGTGTTGACTTGTCTCTCTCCCCATCATTTTGTAGAGAAGGATGTATTTGGCCTGCGGCGGGAAAGCCCCATTCCCAGCGTAGGTAAGCCCTGGTCTGCCCTGTCACCAATGAATAGGTATCAACTTGAGGATCAACTCCACACAATTGGTTGTGACTTCCTAAACCTGTGTTGAGAAGGATCCTGAGGTTGACTAAAGGGGCAGAGTGCCACAATCAATGTTACCTGCCATGGGCAAAGGAGGGAAGCATAGTAAAGTGAATGCCAGACGTTTGCCTCAGAGTCCCGGGCCTTTCCCTACACTGCCTGCAAGTAGAGCGACCTGGAGCTGAGACCCATGGCCCATCAGCATCCCTCCCACTGAGCTCTGCATGGAGCCATTCAGCTCTCATGTGCTGAAGGTCCTTCCACACCTGGCATCCATTTGACTTGGTCCCTTTGATATAGAGTGGGGGTGGGCATCAGAACTGAGCAGGCCCTGGGAGCTCCTCATTTGGCCCCTTCATCCCCCAGGCTCCGTGGAGGTGGCCGTTGCAGTGCTCCTGGCCACCTGCATTGTGGTGGTGGTAGCCATCCTGGGTTACTGCTTCTTCAAGAACCAGAGAAAGAGCTTCCACAGACACCGCCACCGCCGCCCTCCACCCCCTACCCCCACCAGCTCCACAGTCTCCACCACCGAGGACACGGAGCACCTGGTCTATAACCACACGACTCGACCCCTCTGAGCTGGAGTTGCCTTGGCCCTTCAGTCTGGGGCTTTTGCGGGCCCTTGCAGGCTCTCACAGGCTCTCCCCAGCTCTCACCTGGCCCTGCTTCCTCCTTGCCAAAGTGGAGGCTGGGCTGGGGAAGACTTTGGGACCAGATTCCTCCAGCCTGTTTCCCGGGACAATTCTGCCTCAGAGGCCAGGGCTCCAGCCCCACCTGGAGGTGTCTCAGCTAAGCTCAGAGGCCAGTTGCTCCTGAGAAAGCTCAAGGATCAGAGAGGAGCAGAAAACCCTTGAGCCAGGAGTCCTGCACACAGATGGACCTCTCTGCCTAGGATTTCAGAGGAAGTTGGAGTTTGCTTCTGGTTTGAAGCTGCCCGCCTCCACCCCATGGCGTTGGGAAGGGGCCTGGGCCTGTGTCAGAAGCGGGAGGCCCTAACCCTGTCCTTCCAAGCTGCCCCTCCCACTCTGCACGGTCCAGGGCTTGGGGGAAGGACCTCCACATTTTGTGCTGTACAGAGTTGCTTTTTGTTTATTTAATGCCGTGGGGGTGGGTGAAAAGAGTGGAAAGTGGCCATCTGGCCTCTGCCTCTTCTCCTTCCCCCAAGAGTGAGCCCCAGCCCAGCCCGGCCTGGCATACAGAGCCAGATCCACCACATCCTCCCCGCACCCTCCAGGGCTCTCTAACATCGCACTCGCCCAGGCTCCCCTACTTCCCACAGGCCCCAGTCCGCTCACAGTGTAATAAAATGGTTGTCTGTGAGGCTTCTGCCTCTGCTCTGTCGGCCAGGAGAGGGACAGGGCCGCTGGGGGGAGATGGGACTGCCCTGTCCAACCGGTTCAGGCTTTGGCCACCCTGTTGAGCAGGTTTTCCCACCCTTCCCGAAACTGCCCCAGCCCCTGAGGGTGGAGGGAAGTGCCAAGTTTGACCACCAGAGGGGAGGGGAGGAGAGGGGTGAGAAGGCCATGGCAGCAGGGGGCCTCTGGAGGCTGCAGTGCTGCCATGGAGGATTATTTCTCCCTGATTTGAGCCTGTCAAGCCTGTTCAGTAGCTGGGACAAGTCTTCACTGCAGTGTGTAGTTGAGGACTGAGGGGAGGTTCTTATCTCCACTCCCTTCTGTGTGGGGGCTGGGGACGGGTCCCATCTGGCCCAGGTCACCATCTCCCCTGTGCCCACAGAAGCCTTTGTGGATTCACAGGAGTGTAGCTGCTCCCCAGGCTCTGTGCTCCTGCCCGGAGCCTTCAGTTGAGGTTCTCCACTCCAACCCACACCCCTCCATTGGTTTGAGCCACCTCCTGGTGCAAAAAGAAAAATCATATTTTTAATTCATTTCTTCATTTATTCAACAAATTATTGAATTCCCATGTACCAGACACCACCGAGCATTAGAAATTCGGTGTTGTCATGATGAGCACAGAGGAAGCACCCTGTAAGTGCTGTCCATATCTCAAGTGACTGGCTTGGCACACAGCCTGTGGTGAAGGTACTATCATCATCTCCATCTTACACATGGGGAAACTGACTCAGTGGGGTTGAGTTCCCAAGGTCATAGAGCTCGTAGGGGAGGACCAGATTCAAACCCTAACATGGCTCCAGAGAGTCTTACAAAAGAGATACTTTTAGCTTGTGATAAGTGCTATGCAGAAAAATAAAATGGCCATGTGAGAGTTTGGGGGCTACTTTTCAACAATCGAAGTGCAGCCGAGGTGAGTGTACACACATGAGTCATAAGTTTACTTTTCTGGAACTGCACACACCCAGGAGGCAAGCACCCAGATCAAGAAGCAGAACCATATTAGCACCCAGGATAGACCTCTTTTGATGGGTAACTCTCACACCTCTGTGTTTTTGTACCTGTTGTACTGTCAGCCTGGACCACCCCCCACTTTCATCTTTCAGCCTAAGCTCAGGTTCTTGTTCACAAAATCCTCCCATGCACACCAAGGTGGCACTCCTTGCTTCACAGCCCTGTGTCTGCTAACAGGACCCAGAGCACAGCACCCCCTTTTCCATTTACTTATCTGTGTTCCCGCTGGGTTTTGAGCTCCCGGAGATGCAGACGGCAACTTAGTCATCTCTGGGTCTCCAGCACCCCTTCCTCCCTCTATGACTGGTAAACGGCAGTGGTTAGCTAAATATTGAGTGGATGACGGGGTGGGGCTCGTTGCTGTGCTTTGGCTGTTCCCAGTTCATAGGGCACTGTATTTTTGCTTTCTACTTTGCCAGCCACTCGTCCATCCTTTAAGGCTTAAAATGGGCTCGCTCCCTCCTCTGGTCCCCCAGCACTGGGAACCACTCCCCTCATCCTTTGGTTCTTTGAGCACTTCCAGGGCTGAGGTGATTAATGACTCCTTAAATTCTGTACCCTGATGCCTAGAACAGTGATCAACACAGAATAAGTGCCTGATAAGTGTTTGTTGGACCTAAGGGAACATCCTCCTCTCAGGGAGGGGTAGAGATGAAGTGAGACAAAGCGCCATCCGTAGTAAGCTGCTGGGATGCAGGGAGGGCACAGCTGGGTCCGCTGTGGCGACAGGAGGTGGGAGCGCGCAGAGGCCGCTAGGGGGCGCTCTTACCACTACTGGGCGCTGCAAGAGTTCGGGCGGAATACACCAGTCGCAGGCAGGTGGTAGATGTGAAGCAATGAAAACCGAGACGCAGCCCCTGATCTCCTGGAGTTACGCTCTGGAGCGCAGGCAAAAGGGATGCAAATACTGTAACAAAACAATTTGGTCCCCAAACTGCCCCTTATCTCGGTGAGTTTCCCAGGCGTCCTCCGCTCCATCCCACCCAAATGATTCCCTTTCTCAGAACTTTCATGCCTCGGTTCCTCAGCACAGGCAGTTGCCTCTCCTTCAAATGCCTATTTGCCCCCCGAAAGCTCCTACTCACCCCGTGCTCCAGATTTGGCTTCCCTGTTTCCCTAGCCAAAGTTCACTGCTGCCCTCTCCATTCTCTCATGCTGTACACGACTCTGCTACGTTCACACGGCACTTGTCAGTATATGTCTGCCCTCATCTGGTCCAGGCCCCTCAGGGCAGGGATGGGTCTTATTTATCTCAGCATCCTCCATGCTGGTCCCTCTCGCGGATATGAGGTATCCAACAAATGTCTGTTGAGTAAAGCAGGGGCTGGTTAAGCCATTAAGAAAGAGGTTGAAAAAAAAAATGAAAAAAAAAAAAGGAGGTTGAGAAATGGCTTCATGGAGGAAGTATAAAATGAGATGAGCAGGTAGGTGTGGGTGTTCCAGGCATAACAAAATCATAGCAAAAGCTGGGCAGTGGAGATCGTGGGTCTTGTTTTGTTTGGGGAGCAGCAAGCTGCTTGGTTTGGCTGAAGCATTGGTGGATAAAGGCCACGTCAGTGGGCACTTGGGAATTTGAGCAGGGGAAGGAGTGATCCAAACTCAGCTTTAAGGAGTGGAGAGGTAAGCAGGCCATATTACTAGAGGTCGCACCGCAGGGAGAGGGAAAGAGGGAGGAAGCCACACCAAGTAAGCTAGGCCGGGTACCCTATGTGCAGTACATATAGAAGTGCAGTGAAGGCTAGTCGACAGGTTGCACGCTAGCAGCCTGCAATCATGCTTTGACTCAAACAACACTTTAATTTCTTTAATTAGTTTCCAACATTTAAAAAGTCAGGAAATTTCATTTTTTAAAAATCCATATTTCTAGCTTCTTGTGAAAACTTAGGGGACCGGCAATCTGTGGCCCACATTCTTGCAGCAATGCAGGCGCTGAGTTCGGGTCCTCCAGCTGGGCAGGTGCTAACCCTTCTACAGCCCCCACCAAGCCGGCTGCTCCCAGGGCACGCCAGGCGTTCAACTTTGGGACCCTCATCATCTTATCCCTTATAACCCTTCCTGCCTTCCCTATATTGGGGAGTTTTCTCCAAAACTTATTGGTCCCAATAGTTCAAATAAACACAAAAACAGCTCAGTTTCTTCCAGACTCATCCCTGCCCACTTAAACAAACAGCCCCGAATGAGGAGTGGTGTGCCCTATTGCACAAGACCACTCCCTTCCCCACCCAACCGCAGCTAGACTCAAGCCTGGGAAGGCACTTTCAGCCCCCCCTGGGAGGGGTTGTTGTCAATAGCGCTACCTGGAAGCCCCAAACCCGGAAGCCCAGCTTCAGCCCAGGGGATGGCCCACACTCTCCCACAGGATCTCTGAGAGCACATGCCTCTCCTTGCCCATCTACAGTGGCTCCTGGGGGTTCTATCAGCGGAGCCCAGAACCAGAAAGACCAAGAAAATAGACTGAGAGAGAAATTAAGAGGCCACTTGTTGTGGAGCTAAAAAAAAAAAAAAAAAAAGGCTGGGGCTGGCCTGGTGGGGTACTGGTTAACTTTGTGCGCTCTCCTTCATGGCCTGGGGCCCAATCGCAGGTTCAGGCCCTGGGCGCAGACCTATGCACCACTCATCAAGCCATGCTGTGCTGGTGTCCCACATATAAAATAGAGGAAGATTGGCAACAGGTGTTAGCTCAGGGCCAATCTTCCTCATCAAAGAAAAAAAAAGCTGTATGTTTAGAAAAACAAAAAATATATTTACTCAAATGTCCATAGTGTTATCTCTCATCAATGAAATTAGAGGTGGTTTTCCTTTTCTTCTTTTTGTCAACCTGCATTTTCTAAATTTTCTACAATGAATATCTATTACTTTTATAATAAGAAAAAGTTTTTTTTTTTAAGTATTCAGATATATTTCAGAAGGAAACAAATCATCAGACTATGAAGTTCTGAGATGGGATAGAGACAGTGGGGATGGAAAAGAGGAGAGAGCTTCTGGAGATCTGGGGAAGGAAGAAGCTCCAAGACTTACTAACTAGATTATGCAGAGGGAGAGCCTGAGTCAGCGGAGCCTTCAGGGTTTCTGTCCTGGGAGCCTGGATGGGTGGCAGCGCCACCGAGAGAAACAGGGCTGACTGGAGTGGGGGCAGCTTCAGGAGAACCAGGCAGAAGGTGAGGGGTCACCAGGTACCAGATGGAGACTGGTTTTATTGATTTTATTGTTGGTTACTTAGTTTTTGTTTGCTTATGCCTTGCCTTACTGGGGAAGGATTTAAAGGCAGCTTGAAACGGTCTATAAATTATGAGATAACGTGAGTATAAATAAGAACAAGATAAAAAAGAGCAAGAAGGAACATAAAATAGGGCCAGGAACAAGGCAAAAACATATGAGTTTTGTAGTCTTTGGGCCATAGTTAGCTCTGAGTGTTCTAGCTGTGGGTGCATCCTGGTGAGGCCCTAGAGGTGAGGGGTCTGGGCTTGGTGGAGGGGGTCGAGCTCCTGGATTTGGGAATAGACGGTGAGGGTGAAACAGAGGAGTGGGGAGATTACTGCGAGAGTAACAGCGGCCCTAGAGAGGAGAGCAGAAAGTGAGGACGCAGCCTCTTCTTGGAGGAAGAGGAAGCAGAGGAGGAGCGGTCAGAGGGGCGACAGGAGGGAGGAGAGAAGTTCAGAGATGAGGGGTTTCAAAGCCTGCCAGGGTCAGGAAGGAGGAAGCTGGGGCTGAGAGAGCTGGCCATCACGGATGGCTGAGAGGGCAGTAGCAGTGGAGGAGCCAGGTGGAAACCTAACCTGGGCAGGGAGCAGAATCGGGAGTGGAGGCTGTCGTAGGTGTAGTGGGAAGGATGAAGAGCCGGTGTCCTTGCCACAGAGAGCCAAGGGC